CATCCTTATGGGGTTGCAATCGCCGAATGTTAGTGTTAAATTGTCGTATGTTTGTGGTGAGTAGTCATTTCGCAACTGAAATCAACTGATGAAACGACAATTTTTTAAAGATTTTTTGTAGCTATGCATAATACGCACCCCTAAAATTGTGCTGAAATGTGGGAAAATACTTCTACTCGTGCATAATACGCACCCCTTATTTGGTAATCAAACCCTATAAATTGTACCTCTCCAATTTCATCATGGCTGGCGTTCACTACTCTTATTAAAAACATGGTTTTAAACAGAATATTTTTCTAATTTAGTTTTTTGATAATTCTTATTTTATTTTATATTTGTAAGTATTGTTAGTAATAGTTATATTTTATAGTATGGTTGAACGTTTCATTTAATTATTTTTTTTTTTTTTTTTTGCTATATATGATTGTATTTGACATACTTATGGGGTCGCAATCGCCGAATGTTAGTGTCAAATTGTCGTATTTTTGCGGTGGGTAGTCATTTCGCAACTGAAATCGACTTATGAAACGGCAATTTTTAAAAGATTTTTTTTTTTTTGTAGCTGTGAATAATACGCACTTCTAATTTTGATTATTATAGTTTAGAAAAAAATGCGTATTATATATGGGGAATTATGGTATATTTTTGTTACATTTGTATCTGTGTATGTTGAAAGAGTCTCCTTTCTTTAGTGTATGTCACATTATGTTTCCCTTGACAGACAGTCCAATGTTCTGTTCAACTTTGTTCTGGTAATTCCTGCGACGATGCCGTTGCCAAACTGTACTGGCCTCTGTCTTTCCCTTTGACAACGTCGGTGGCGTGAAGAGAGCAACCGTGCTGCATGGCCAATTGACGAAAATAACCCTGCTCAGGCCCCACGGTCTGGAAAGGGCATAAACCCTCGGGTACAGATCGATGGTCTCTCGAGGCCGACAGATGTCACAAAAAAATATACATTTATTAAATCTGACATAGTTTTAATTTATTTCGTTTAAACGTTATTTTTATGGACACCCATATTAGATTGGAATCACTGGGTTTTTTTTAATTAAATAGTATTTTTTATCCAACTACATCTACCGGCCTGAATATTCGAGAAATTTTGTCAGCTGCCGGAAGGCGCATATATTTTTTGACAATATTTTTCTCATATATTTCAGCCGGTAGATGTAGTTGGATAAAAAAATAATGTTTAATTGAAAAAAAAATAACAGGACTTCTACTCGAATATGAGTATCCATCAAAAATAACCATTAAACAAAATCAGTTAAAAATAACAATATGTCGGATTTAATCCATGTCCTAAAATTAAATTGTTTTTGTTTACCTTAGGATACGATACAAAGCAGATATGGATATTTGGAGAATCGGCAAAGAAATGTGTGTTCAAAAGACACTATTCGGGTTTTGTTTGACTGTAAGTCCTACGTGGCCAAACGGTCAGGCATATCAGATCCAATGACGGTTCCTGTTATACCGGAACATTACCTATTCTATTGTAATAGACTCTCCCACACATAAGTAGTAGTAGTTGTAGTAGCAGTCGCCAGGTGGGCTGAGTGAGTTGTGTGAGTCGATGTCGGACATTAAGGTATGAACAACCACAACTAGATTTGCTGCGTCATTAACTATTATTTTCAAGTTCCTAATGTTTTGTACGTCGGACCCTAATTTAGGACCGACTTAGTGAAATACAAGCCTCCACTGTGAAAACTACTATACAACCCCATATGGGATGCAGGTTCAAATCATGACGGGGGGGGGCATGATTTTTCTAACAAGATTTCTCGAATATTTAGATGGAGTTGGATAAAAAAAAACTGCTTAATTAAAAAAAAAACAGAGATTCTACTCGAATATGAGTATCCATTAAAAATAACGTTTAAAGAAAATAAGTGAAAATAACAACAAAAAATATATATATATATATATATATATATATATTTGGTCTGATTGATGAGTTTGTGACCCTGGTTTCACGCTTTTTATGATCGTCAGACAAATATGTTAGCTCTATCTCTGTTATTGAGCGCATTCTAATAAGTGCTGCCTATATAATATATAAATAATTATATATATATACACATTATTATATATATATATATATATATATATATGTATGTGTATATTATCTTCATCTTTGCTTGATCAGCAATGTCTTTCGTGCGGACTCAATATTCAACAAATCTTCTCAGTAAAATATGTGTCCTCCTGCAGGATTCGAACCTGCATTCCTTATGGGGAAGCATCATTGGATCTGACGTGCCTAACCGTTCGGCCACGTAGGACTTCTAACAAAAAAGTAAATCCCAAATGGTGCCTTTTGGATACACACTCTCTGTCGATTCTCCAAACATCCATATCTGCTCTGTCTAGTATCCTAACGTAAACAAAGACAATTTCTTTGTAGGAAATGGATTAAATCCAACATATTGCTGTTTTCAATTTACTTTGTTTGAACGTTACTTTCGATGGATACTCGTATTCAAGTAGAAGCCATGTTTTTTTTGTTGTTTTTTTGTTTTTGTTTTTTTAATTAAACAGTATTTTTTTTATCCAACTGCATCTACCGGCTTGACGAATATTTTTCTAACAAGATTTTTCGAATTAGATGTAGTGGAATAAAAACTAGTATTTAATTAAAAGAAAACAGAGCTTCTCTTCGAATTTGAGGATCCATTAAAAATTAACCTTTAAAGAGAAATAAATAACACATATATATACATACATATTTTAAGACATTTTTTATGTTGATACGTTCTTTTTATAGATACAATTATTTAAGTAAATGCACTGTTTACAATAAACAGTATTAACGACATTAACCGACCTGAATGTCCTTAACCGATTCGACCACAGAGGAGCGTTTCGGTTAGCAAGCTCAATTTTACCGCTTTTAAACTACAATTCTCAATGAAAAACAGTAAAATCGACCTTACTAACCGAAACGTTCCTCTGTGGCTCAATCGGTAAAAAGCACGTTAGGCTATATGACGGTTCCGTATAGGATACAGGTTCGATTCCTGTCGGAGGACGCATATTTTCTATGAAAATTTCTCGGACATTCAGACCGGTAAATGTTGTTTAATAGTGTTTATTATAAAACAGAGCAATTACTTAAATATTTGTATGTATAAAAAGAATGTATAAACATAAAAATGTCTTAAAATAATTGTCCGACTTTGTCAATTTCATAATGTGTGACGTCAATACATACATGCATATATATATATATATATATACATATATATGTTTGGATTAGTTGTGCTCTTATGTCCATCGCCTTTTGTGTTAAATTTTTATATGTTCTAATGTTAATTATGTTTAAATGAAAATGTCCATGAAGATGGTCTTAAATAGACCGAAACGTCCGACGTCGACTTTATATTAACATTAATACAGCATAATTGCATATTAAGATTTTGGTTTGTTT